TATTAAATTTTACATGTATATCAGCATAATTTAAATGTATACATTGCAGAAAGGTTTTTGACTTTTCAGCGGTCCGCCATCAAATCAGTTTCTAATGATCTTAATTCAGTACTGTATTTTAATCAATGTTAGATAAGTATGGGTACTGCTTTTTTGAATTAAAGCCCCAGATTAAAATAAGCAATGACTGCATAATTTCTTACTAGTTAATCAGAGTAATTATTATTTGCAGATAAGTTCAGAGTACATCTTTGAGCACTTGTGCATTCAGATTTTCCAAAATAAAAAATAATCCTTTCTAACAATTATCACACATTCTAATTCTTTCAGGAGATCAGTTACAAAGCATCAAGCAATTGATTTTCAACCCAGAAAAACTATGAGTACCCCTCCCAAAATGTGGAAGGGGAAAATAGGTGGAAGCTTCCCTCTTGTATCAATGACTAAAATATAAGCTTTACCAAATGCCTTGTCTAGCCTTTGCACCCTTGTAGATTCCAGCAAACTTACTCTGTCACAAGTTTTTCTTTTCACCTTCTCCCTTTATGGCACCATTGCACTGCTGAGCTATCAAGCACCCACATCCCTCTGCCACTAACCAGCCACTTCTCTGCTTCTTTTTCCCTTTGTGATTCTGCAAAGACCTTTAACTTCATTAGCGACTTCTTCGATGTAAAGATTCTGGTTTTTTTCCAGAGCTTTTGCTTTAAAACTTGTAAGAATACCTGAGACTTGGAGATTTCTGCCATCACAATATTTATACATAAAGTTTACCTCAAAAATGAATGCAAGTAAGTGAAAACTAGAGAAACAGAAAAAGCAGAAAATGGATGAAACTCCCTGAAGACTCTGAGATAATTTTTATCTCTTCCTCCCTACACTACACACCAGGGCCTGAATGGCACATCACCCTGAGGAAGACCTCAGCAGGTGGTAGGACCTCAGAGGCCAAGTCAAGATGAAAGAATAAGAGCAATTACATGCCCTAAAAACCTAAACCATAAACCAGAGACTCCTGCAACAAGAAATGCAGCACCAGCACGAGCGTAGCAGGCAACATCCTTACTCCTACATCCTCTCCAGAAAGTTTCCCGGAGGAGCCGATGGAGCATCCAGCCCCAGAGTAGAGCTGGGAGCTCGGAGGAGCGAGGAAGAGGGTGTCCATCCATGCGGCGTGGTGGACACGATCGCTGCCTGCTATAGCCTCTGGCCAGGGCTAGGTTACCAAAGCAGCGCGCTTTTGCCAGCCTGAGGCAGTAAAAAATTCACAAGTCAGGCTACCAGAAGGAAAGAAAATACGTAAAAGTGGTAGCTAGTTCAAGAAAAAAGCAAGCGGTTCCAGCTAAAAATGATAGCTAGTTCAAGGAAATTTCCAGGTGACATATTTTTATTTTCTTGCTGATTTTGAGACTTTTAAGTACAAAGAGACACTTTTGAAAGAGATGTAATGTAAGATCGTTCCTCACTGCCTTCTCTAATGGCTGGTGAAAAGTAGACAACGGGAGTATTTGTTTCCGTACTGATCTTTTGGCTGCCTCTCTTTTTGCTTTGTTGTAAGGCTGCTGTGGACACAACTATTTTTTTCTTTTTCTCTCTCTTTTATTTAAAGATGCCCGCAAGGCTTCCCACATGCCCTGCTACGCAAACGCTCACACGGAGCTCACCAGCAGGGCTGCCACGGGCAGCAAGAGCAGCAAGCTCCGCTTCCACAGCCACCAGCCACGTGCTGTCCCTCCGAAGGCAGCAAAACTCTGCTTCTCACTTTCTGTAGGAACGTCAACAGCGTAGTGGTTTCTTCAGGCTTTTGGGTTTGAGGTTTTTTCTGTGAGGGCTTTGTTCTAACTGGAGGAGAGAACAGCAAGGGAAGTCACACGTGATTTGAAGCCTCTGCATTTCTTGCCTCAGTCGATAAGATAAACTGAGCTTTCGCATTATGTGCGTGTGCCTGGCTATATGTTATTTTCCATGCTAAGTCCAGGTTTGGCAGAAAGGAATCACAAAGACTGATAATGAAGCATTTTGTCAATGGTAAAACCTTCATTAGGCCCAAGTGGAGGGAAAAAACTAAACACAGAACCCCACTAGCTAATGCTTAAGTAACAAATGCCACCAAGTGCCCATTTTCTGAACAACTCTTTTCAGCTGAATGTTCTTTACAACTGTAATCCTCAGGAAACAGACCCACCAAGTCTTCTGATTTATTTATCCATGGGCAGACTCGTTATCAACTGGCTAGATTACACCCTGCAGTAGATACTGTCTAAATAATGAGAAAAAATTCTAAGTTAGTGATGAACTTCAAGTGCTTCAAAAATCACTCAAGAAACTCTTGCAATAAATGGCAGACGTTTTAGGAATTTTAGTCCATCATATGATTTAAATTTAATAGTGTTATTTCTGTCACTGTTGTATTAAGCCTCAAGCTGACAGCTCTTTGAACATGGGAAATAGGAAAAAAGCGACCTGTTTTAGGTTTTGTCATGTCTTATTTTACAACTTTATGGAAAACAGTATGTGTGCTGTCTACTTGGTAATGTTGGAGCTCTGTAGTTTTATTCTGATAGTACATGTGGAAAATAGTGGGAAAACTAAAGACCAAAAGTTTGTAAAACAGTTTGATTAAAGATTTTTATGTTAAAATACTAAATAACATTTTCGGAGCATAACAAATATCTTAAAGCCTCTTTGTCTTTTTCTTCTTTTCTCTTACTCTTGGCCAGAGTCCACCGATGACAGTTTTGGAACAAATCAGAACCCACTCAGGGAGTCTGCCTAAAAGCACTAAATTTCTGCAAGATTCAGCTATACTTCATAGCAGGCAAGGTATCAAAGCAACCAGAGCAGTGCTACATCTACTGCCCGACAGCAAGCATGAAGTGACAGAGGTAAATATACATTATTTTTAAGAAGGGCAAAGGCCCAAAACCTGCAATTCTAAGTTTAAATAGGGTAAAATACCTCTGTCTTACCCTTATTTTTAATCAGAAGAGTGACAGAAAGTTAAAAAGATAAGATCTTGCTACAATTATTTAATGTAGGTTCATAATTTATCCATATATAAAACACAAAAATAAGGGACCAAGATTTTGTCGAAGCACGCAGTTAAAGTGCATAAGATAGCCATTTTTGATTTCAAGTGGTATAACCATATGAAATGTAGCTCTTGCAGTTACTTTCCTTCCTACTCTCTTAAAATCATTAAATTTTATGTTTTTTTCTGTTTCCCGGAGTAGCAAAAGTCCTTGTTTCTCTTTTGTTTAAATGTTATTCCATTAATGACCCAATGAATCAAGGCATAAATACAGTGTTCCTCTTCTTTCTTTTTAAAGAATAGCAGTTGCATTTGATTTGCAGAGGATAGAGAAACATCTCCAGGATCATTTAAAATTCGTGCTTGATTACCAATTTTTAAGATAATTTTCCTTTTTTGTGTGTGTTTTAATTTTAAATTATGGGTAACACATCTGACTCAAAGTCTGTGGTTTTAAAATGCTCCTTAGTAAATAGAAATGTACAGTTTGCTCCCATACGTGCTTCATTTCCAGATTTTCTCCTCTTCATCCCACTCCCCCAGGCTTCAGAGTACCCATCTCCATGGCAACACTCGATAAGATTGGTGGGTGGTGTTATCACAGCAGGCTTCCCCACAGAAGGTCTCAGCCATATGGATTATTTATGAACTTGCATGACAGTACCAGACCCACTGAAATACTTCTTGAGCAAGTTTTCTTGTCTCTGGAAGCCAGTGATTCAAAGCAGGGCATCCTCACCGCGGTCAGCACCCATGAGTAGAGAGTGGAGGAAAAATACCACGAAGGTGGTCACTCACCCATCCCCAGAGCTGCCTTGCCCCTGCCTGCCAACCTCTCTTACCCCAGATGAACACCTAATGACATAGGCCGTAAATCATAAGTGTTATGCACGCCAATCAATGAAATTGGAAACTTGTGGCTATTTCAGTTCTACCATGACTAAATAGTTGATATAACTGATACTGTTGTTGGGAGCTGCTATTGCAGATACACTGCGGTAGTTCTGTGTCTCTGAGTTAGTTCCTGGAAAAAATTAGCAGTTTGGTTTTGGCACTATATTTTCTTCGCCTCATTTCTTTCCTAAAACTTCGGTATATTTTTTAGCTAAGGTTGTTGCATTTACGCTGTATTAACGCAAATAGCACATAGCAATTTTTTGAAAGGATCACTTTAATAGCAGAACATTTCTTTAAAATAATAGAGTGCTTTGGATAAATGCAATTTTTAGCAAAAGATATAGGGTTATAAGGGCCTATGATATGCAACCACTTCATCCAATCATTTTTATAAATTTATCAAGATCCATCATAGAGCATGACAGATTTTCCTAAGAAAGAAAAAAGTTGTTTTAGCTCTCAAATAGGCATTTGTGTGGTTTTTTTAACACAGACAATACTCAAGATTTAATGGTTGTGATTTATCTTCCTAGCTATCCGTGTATTTATAATGTATATATATGAACCTTAACTGGTCATTATAAGCTTCCTTTATGATCAGTAAGAAGTAGGAAATGTTGAGGCACAATTCATCAGATCCATTATCAAAATCTGCTCAAAGGGTATATCAATTGTACTCTAAGCAACATAAGCATCATCAGGAATCCACAGCGTAGTTCAGCCAGCTTTTTGGAGAAGAGCGGTTCAGATGCTCCTCTCCAAAAAGAAGGGTTTCAGATCAGTCAGTGAAGATGTTACCACCTTTATCTCACTCTTCCTCCTTCCTCACATACAATCCATCCCTAATTAATGTAAAATGCTCCAGATTAGAAGAACTCTATCATTTACAATGCTGAAGCTTCCTCAATTTATTTGGAAATAACTTGGTGGATGCAGTTAGATAATTGATTGGAGGAAGCAGTATGAAACAATGTCTGGTCTTGAGACAGAAAGGAAAATGGAAAAATGAAGAGAATTCAGAGAAGAAGGAAGCCAAAATCACAGGATGTAGGAACCACATTAAAAATACTACCTTGACAGAAACTTTGTCATTCATCTTCCTCGGATACAAACTTGTAGCTGCAGACTGGGAGAGAATACGGAGATATTTAAGATATTGCTGAAGAGACTTGGCCAAGTTCACATCATTTTCCAGATCGTAATTTCTTTCATTATCTGCATTCTGTCCTAAAGCCCTGCACGGCAAAAGCAAGGAAAGGAAAGTTACCAGCCTGTAAAACATACAAAATGCCCACCTAAAAAGGCACTGCAAACCACTGAAGTTAGTTCCATACATGACATAAAAGTCACTCAAAAGCTTCGCAACCACAAAAGTATAGAAAATTCAATGTTTCAGCAAAAGCAGTCAAAAAATCTTGCACTATTAACAATTTATTGCATGAATCAAAGTTAATGATCCAACAGTAAATCAAATAAAATGCCTACATCAAGGCAAAGCCATATTCAGAAGAAAAGAAAAAGCTTGAAAAAAAGAAAATATGCATGATTAAATTGCACCCCAAAGAAACATGAGATGGTTTTAAGATTTTAAAAAATTGCTGGATGATGATGAGATTCAACATCAATTTGGCCCTGCACCAATTTACAGAATACAGCAAGACTACTGGATGTGCAGAAATAACTGAGCAAGTTAGCTCCAGCAAAAGGCTTAAAAAGCGAATAATAAGATGGAATAAGTATCTCTTCTGATCTTCTCATGTGTCTGGGATTCACCGAATAGCGGTGTTTCCTGACTGATTTGCACAGATCTTTGTGATGTTTGCAAAGAAAAGCTAAAAATGTGATTAAACAGCAGTGTAGAGGTGTTTATATGGGATTCAGAGCACTGTGTGCCATGAATCTGAATTATTACTGGCTCTCCTCATCTATCTCAACAACATGTCAATGATGATGATAATTTAAATGTCAACACCAGTAACTATTTCATTCCTTGTGCAAGAAAGCAGAGAGAGGGTTCCCAGTCTGCTTCCTTCCCTACGAGTGACACGTCATTTTGAGGGAAATCACCTTTTTGGTGTCACCATTTCCTACCCACACACTTCTTAAGTGAACAACTCCAGGTGGAAGAGCTTTCCAGCTCAGGGAGACGAGGCATCATTTGACTTTCAACATGTCCATGTCACTGTAAGCAAGATTTTATTCTACCAGCCCACGTCATGGTGCCTATGTAGGGGCACATCTTGAGAGAGTACCATTATGTCATTTTCCAAATCTCGGGTTTAATTAAATTACTTTATGTGCAAAGTAACAGACTTCCTTCCCTGCTCACAGTTGTAGCAAATGCAAGTCCCAAATAATGTAATACTAATAAATGTAATTAATAATCTAATTTACTATGGTGGCATGGCAACCAGTAATGCTCACAGAGTTGCTCACTTTGAAGTACCAGAAAAACCCTCCACCTCTCCCCAGTATAAAACAACCAGCTACCCATCAGGTACACAAACTCTAGGAAAATGAAGGTTTACTGCACAGAACACTATAGTGATCTTGATATAATTCACCATAAATCCTGCTTTCTTCTCATGCTGTTCATATTTTTCTCTTATTCCAGAGCTCTAAATTCTGCCTGATGACGGGGGGTGGACATGCAGGTAACATCACCCACCTCCTTTGCAACTTAAAGCCAGACTA